GTGGGGGAGCTTTGCTCCCCCACTAGCAACAGCGAACTGTCACCAGAAACACGAGCTTTAGAGCTCGTTAAATTGTCTCTTATCCCAATAATTTTTTTACCTTTTTACATTGCAAAGTGGCGGAAAGACCTGATTAAGTATTGCAAATTAATAAATGGGTTCAATCCCAAATCTTTGCAGCTTTGTCTTAAGACAATTTTCCCACTGTTTTTGCAAATTCCCTAGTGTTTTGATGGAAAACCTCTTGATGTTTTACAGCTACCCCTTTGTGAAGCGTTAGAACTATGGCACCTATCATGGCCACCAACAAGATTAGGCTTGCGAGCAAAAAAAAGTAGAAATAATAAGTGTATATAATAACACCAACTCCCTCTAAAGGGGTAACACCTACTGCCAAGTTTGACCATGGAGTCCATTCCATAGCAGAAAGCTCAGCCCACTCTAAGAGATGGGAAGACCCCAACCAAGGAATCAAATCATTGTCAACTATTAGAAATATTTCGCCAAGAAAGAGCATGCCTAAAAGACCTCCAATAGGGAGATACCGCAATCTTTTCTCGCTAATCTCTGCTAGTTTTATGTTTAGCATCATCACTACAAACAGGAACAACACTGCAATAGCCCCTACATAAACCACTAGGAAGATCATTGCAAAAAACTCAAGACCCAGCAGAACGAGTAACCCAGCGCTATTAAAGAAGACTAATATAAGAAATAGAACGGAATGAACGGGGTTCCGCGCTTGTATTACCATAACTCCAGAAATCAAGGCTAAGCTTGAAAAGAAGTAGAAGAGGGAAGTCATAATTTTGTATCCTATGTCTTTAATATCCAAGCAGGGTTTGCATACTTTTGTCTCCAAAAACCGGTAAGATCCTGTTTGTCTCACAAAACCTTTTTCAGGATGGAAGTAGCGGGTTTAAAAAAAGCAGAATATAGTTCATATCTGGAGATAGAAAGTTGTATGCTATATATTAGTATTGAAGAAAAGGTGCCTGCTTACAATTCTTGATGTGGCTAGAGTCCATCCAGCCCTAGTTAAGACTCTACCCCGTAAGGGTTTGTAGCCCACTCCAAAAGAGTGGAACAATCCCTTTATCTCGTGGAGACATTACTAAAGCGATGTCAAATCCTTCCAGAGATTGAAAAAGATCGTAATGGTATTCTAATTCAACAAACAGGAAAGGATCGCTGATTCCAATATTGTAAGTGCCATTAAGATCAATACCTCCATTTATCGATGAAGGACGAGCCCGTGGCAATACCAAGTTTATCAACTTGTCCAAAAAGGCGTACATTGAACTGCCACGCAACGTTACTTTACAACCCAAAACGCTACCTTCCCTTAGCTTGAATCCAGCAATAGATTTGCGAGCCCGCGTTGTCTGACACCTTCGACCAGAAATCATCAAGCAGGCGGATAATCCAACTATCAGTTCCTTTTTGTCATGGACAATTTTTTTAGAGCTGCTGTTCAATACAATCTTTTTAGGGGGGGAGAGTTCCATAACCCCCTTTAAAGGACATTGTAACAACAAATCAAAGCAAACCACTTCTTTATAGAATCTTTCTATTCTTGGAATAGAGTGCCTTTGTCCTTTCAACCTTTTCTGGTCACTCACATTGGTTTGGCTATTTTTTAATGTGTCCACTGGTAGACTTTGTCTACCATTTGATACAATATTTAGCATTTGCCATTTTGTGACAGAACTGCTGTATGCAGAGTTTAATTGCTCTACAACAGGTAGTGGCTGCATAAGAACAGGTTGGTAATTGTTTTTGTACTCTGTTTTTGCACTATTCATATAAATTATTTTTTTACTTGCTTACAAGTTTAAACAAATTGAGATAGAGTTTTAAAAGTTATGGTAATCATAACCTTTAATATAATTGCTTAATATAAGATGCCACATTTTATCTCGCCTGAGTATTAAGCAATATCGCGATTCGCTCAGTTTTTGTTTTATGAAAAACAAATTATCGTCAACCTGATTAATTTCACGATTTGAGCCTGGTGGAGGCAAGTTTTTTAGGGGTGCTTATAGTAGGGGGGCCACGTTTGAGTGGGCTCTATTAGTTAGAATAGCAGATAGCCCAGCCCACGTTTGAGATAGGTTGTTACCGACTTTAGTTTTCTACACATTGCACTTGAGGTTGGTTAGGTTGGAGAAAGGGCTTCAACATCACAGCCCCTGGTCATCGAAAGATGAGCCCAGCTCTCTTACCAGCAACACTAACTGGCGCAAACAGATTTAATTAATCCTTCTCCTTGCTTTTGAGAAAAGACCAAATTACCTAGAAGAGAAAGACCTCTCTATAGATGGAATAGAAAGAGATGTCGCCAAATCAATAAGAATATTGATAATGGCATTCGACCAAAGTGGGACGTTGTAATTAATTGGAATAGGTATAGTTATGTTAGACAAATCTGTGTTTGAGTCAACTAATGCTACAACTGGAATCTTCAGCGTTTGTGCCTCTTCAATAACATGCCTGTTTTCATTAGGATTTATTATCAGCAATAGGTCAGGTTGTCTTGTAAGTCGCAGCTGTGTACCATTTCTAGTAAAGTGGAGAAATCCCGGATAGGCTTGTTTCATTTTCTCATACCGAGGTAGATGAATCCGGTTTCTTTCTAGAAAAGCTTGAAATTTGTGAGAGATCTGTGCAGATCGGCCTATCATTTCAGATATAGAACTCCAATTAGTTAAGCTTCCACCTACCCAACGGCTCCCACTAAAGGAAAGAGAAGCAGGTATCTGTCTGTTATACCTTTCGATCAGACCGCCCATTGGGGAAATTTCTCCTCGAGTGTCAATTATTAAAATCTTGCCCTTTTGACGGAGAACAGAAGCTCCCAGAAATAGACCTTTTGCTGTTTGCTCTAATGTGATTGAAGGGTTTATTATGGCTCCCCTGCCTCTTTCCCCAATTAAGAGACTAGATGCGGCAGGATAACAAATCCGAGAGAGGGATAGCTTAAAGGGCCTATGCCCTAGATGTCCACTAGATTGAATAAGACGTTTCAACCAAATCAGGGCAAATTCAGATTTCACTGGTAAACTTTGTCTATCAGTGGTTCTCAATTGATTTGTAGATGTTTCATTTACTTTAATCGTTAGTTTTCTTGTCATTTTATTCTATAATAATATTTTTCTTCTCTGTTTTATGGCAAAATGTTGATAGTTTGGTAAGTTCGTAAAGGTTAAACCCTTAGTAGACTTTTATCAGCCTCTCCTCTTAAATAGTGGGTTGAGTACCTTTTTTTCTCTGGGGTTTGTTGGAATGGGGAAGGGCCCCCACACTACAGCCCCCGGTCATCAAGGGGTAGGCAGGGGGTTGCTGGCCAAAGAACTTACTAGGATCATCTCGTAAGAGGGAGTATATTGATTTACGTTCTTTGGCCAGCAGTGAACTTGAAACTCCAACCCACGTGCCTGATAATTCATATAACGTTGATGCTGTTCTATTAACGTATATAACGTTAATGGTTTTGCATTAGATGCATCGCTCTGCGACAAAAGCCGTGCAAGGGTTGCATAGTTTGGAGTTTATTGAAGCTTTCTTTATGGAGAAAGGCGGGATGCTACGCATCTAGCTCAACAACATCGACGCCACAGCAAGTTTAAAAAACAAACAAGATCAAGAAAGCCATCATAAGCGCAAACAAGGCAATAGCTTCTGTCAAAGCAAACCCCAAAATTGCATAACCAAACAACTGCTTGGTTAGTGACGGGTTTCTAGCTACAGAGTTAATAAGTGATCCAAAAACAATACCTATACCAGCTCCTGCGCCAGCAAGCGCTATAGTTGCACAACCAGCTCCAATTAACTTAGCTCCTTCAAACATAATAAGAGAGAAATCTTGGTTTATATAATGCTCATGGCGTGATTTTTTACACTTCTGTCCTTTTGCAACTCTTGTTTAGAGCAAAAGATTAAAAATTATTTCAGTTATCAGCTAATTGATGCTGCTTGCCCATTCTCATGAAAATTTCTTTTATCTACGTGGTATGTGAAAGCTACCATGAAGTGCTCTTTTTTGCGTATCAGCTCTAAAGGGTTATTTTCTAGTAAAATAATTTTAGGGATCGATACTCTTATAAATAAAGTAAGGGCATTACTTTCTGATGTTTAGCGTAGCAGTGTAGCTGCTTAGCAAGGCCTCATTATGACTGAATGATGGCATAGAGGTGGACTTTATTTCTAAAAAGTCTAAAAAGGCAGAGAGAGGTTGCACGTGGATCCTATACGCCCAATGGTAGTGGGGGAGCTCCGATCCCCCACTACCATTGGGCGCACTGAAAGAGAGGTGAAGATTAGCTCCAATCTAGTGCACCTTTCCGCCATTCATATACAAACCCTATTGTAAGAATTAGCAGGAAAGCCATCATCGACCAAAATCCAAAGAGACCCACTCTATTCAAGACAAGTGCCCATGGAAAGAGGAAAGTCACTTCTAAATCAAAGATGATAAACAAGATTGCTACCAAGTAAAATTGAACATCGAAACGGCTTCTAGCATCATCAAATGGATCAAAGCCACACTCATAGGCAGAAATTTTTTCTGGATCTGGCTTGCGAGATGCTGCTATGAAAGAGACTCCCAATAAAATCATAGCCAACCCTGTAGCTATTAGGAAATAAATAAAGATGGCGAGATATTCTACCATATGCGCTTATCTTTTTTAATCAGTTTAGAATTAATGTTCAATCCCTAATTCTCTGCTTTTCGGTATATAATACCTAGGAGAATTATTTTAGCCACCACTTAAGGAGCCAGAATTGCGGTGGGCCATGAAACATGATACAAGGATTTGATTGATTTTATAAGACCTACTACTAGTAAAGGTGATTGATCTCGTAAGATTTAGTAAAGGTTTGATCTATTTTATAGACAAGAGGTAGTTTCCTCAAGATTTTGCATCTTTAAGAGGTTCTTCCTTTTCGAGAGAAGTATCTTTAATTTCCTTTTAAGGTAATTAAAGTCTACCTCATTTCGAGGACGACGGGGATCGAACCCGCGACCTTTGACGTGACAGGCCAATACTCTAACCAACTGAGCTACGTCCTCAAGCAACAACAATGTGTGAGAAACGTTTTCTGCCACTTTATGCACCAGTATCACCACAAGTCTCTCCTGCTCTGCATTAGAGAGCAGTCTAAGAGTCTTTTATTTTTTAGAAATAGAGTCCACATCTAATGATAAGATTCAATATCTAATGATCAAATTCATTAAGCTCACTATTAGATATAATCTAACATTGGGATAGAGTTCATTAGACACCCGTTGGGCCTCTGCGCCCCAACGGGTATCCAACGAGCCTTTGCGAAGCCTGCCTTTATGAGGCTTGTTGCATGTTACGCGTGAGAAGCTGTACCCAATGCAGACCCTTGAGCTTGCAAGTGTGGGTTCTTGTAATAGATCAAGAACTGCTCAAACTTGCCCAAGAATGGCAAAAAAACAAGGAAATAAAGGAAAAAGTAAACTGAAGCGGCCTGTCCCAAAAAAATGTACGGGTCTTCAACTGGTTGTTGGCCAATCCAAACCAATATTATGCAATCCGCTACCAGTAACCAGAATAATTTTCTGTGTATAGGTCGGAAAAGAGAACTGCGCACTTGCGAGGTGTTTATAAACGGTAGCGCTAATAGTGCTATGAAAACTAGCGCTATAGCAGCAACCCCACCTAGCTTATTAGGAATGCTACGAAGAATAGCATATACCCAAAGGAAGTACCACTCTGGTACAATGTGTGCAGGCGTTGACATAGGATTTGCTGGTATATAGTTGTCGGGGTGTCCCAATGCGTTAGGGTAGAAATAGACAAATGTTGAGAACAATATAGCAAACAGTACCCAACCCACTAAGTCCTTCACGTAGAAATAGGGATAAAAGCTCACCTTATCAACTGCTCCATTTGTTCCCAATGGGTTGTTTGATCCATATTGATGAAGGGCAGCTATGTGAACTATCGATGCACCAGCAATAATAAATGGCAACAGGTAATGAAGGCTGTAGAATCGATTCAATGTGGCGTTGTCTACCGAGAATCCTCCCCACAACCAAGTCACAATGCTATCCCCTACAACAGGTATAGCACTAGCTAAACTGGTAATCACCGTTGCACCCCAAAAGCTCATCTGTCCCCATGGCAGCACGTAGCCGATGAAAGCAGTAATGATCATCAATAGCAGGATCACAACTCCCATACACCAAACCAATTCACGTGGGCTTGAATAACTGCTGTAGTAGAGGTTGCGGAAGATGTGAAGATACACCACTAAAAAGAACATGCTTGCTCCATTAGCGTGGGCATATCGAAGCAACCAACCTCCCTCAACATCCCTCATGATGTGCTCCACGCTCAAGAAGGCCACATCAACATGTGGGGTGTAATGCATAGCTAGGAAGATACCGGTGGCCATTTGAATCAATAAACAAAGGCCTGCTAAACTCCCAAAGCTCCAAAAATAGTTTAAATTGCTGGGAGTTGGGTAGTCTATTAGATGGTCATTAATTGTGGAGAAAAGGGGTTGTTTAACTATCGATAACCGTTTCATAAAGCTGTTTCTTTTTACCGCAATCCTTTTTCTCTTGTTCTATTTTAGAAAAACAGTCTAAACCCCCCTACATTTGTAGAATACATGCAAGCATAGGGTTGGTTGGGTTGGGGGAAAGGGGCCTACAATCGATTTAACGAGTTGGTGGGTTGCATTCTACTTGGAGATTAGCTGAACAGGCTGTGGTGCGAGGCCCTTTCCCCATCCCCCTTTCCACCGAACCCTCAACATTAAAAACCCAATACACTGTTCTCTAGTGTAAATGAATAGCATCGTTCAAATAAATGCAAATCAAGATGGTGAATACATATGCTTGAAGGCAAGCTACTCCAATCTCAAGCCCAGTTAAAGCAAATACAATGATAACTGGTATAACTGATGCTGCCCCCAAGATTCCTCCGAAAGAAAGCATGGTCCATGCAAAACTACTAATAATTTTTACTAGGGTATGCCCCGCCATCATGTTGGCAAACAATCGAACACCAAGACTTACTGCGCGAAAGCAGTAAGACACCAGTTCTAGCACTACCAAGAGTGGTGCCAGAGCTAGAGGCGCTCCTTTTGGCAGCAAGAAGCTGAAGAAATGTATGCCGTGTTTTTGAAACCCTACCGTGGTTATGCCTATGAAGAGAGACAAGGAAAGGCCAAATGTAACAACCAAATGGCTTGTAGCTGTAAAGCTATAAGGGATCATTCCAACTAGATTGCAGCTCAATAGAAAGAGAAAAGTTGTCAACACCAATGGAAAATATTTTCTGCCTTGGGGTCCTATCTGTTCCTCTACTAAGCTTGCTACAAATTGATAAATCATTTCAATCACCGATTGCCAACGTGAAGGCACTAAGAAACCCCCTTCTCTAGTAACTAGGTAGAGAAGGAGGGAAACCAACCCAGTGGCGACTAACAAATAAAGTGAAGAATTGGTAAACGACAAAAAAAGGTTACCAATTCGAATTGGCAAAATGCTGACAATAGAGAATTGCTCTAATGGAGAGTAAATCATCTGTGAAATAGTTCTTTAATTGGTTAATCGGCAATAGTTTGCCGTGGATGCTATTAGAGGCCTAGAGTAACAGGGCTTGTTTTAGCTAGCCTCAATGTGGCATTAGCTATTAATGCTTTTTTCCACCTATTCACCAAACCAAACAGCTCACCCCACGGAGCACTTGAAGCTTGTGAGACCTGCTTTTATAAGGCCTGCCACTGCGGGGCCTCGCTAGCGAGGGGTGAGAATGCAAGAGTTCCAATGCTAGATTATATCTAACAGTGGGCACATCATTGAATGATGCACTTGGGAAAGGCCTTTTCCCGGTGTGGACAGCTATAGCCAAATTTATGCTCCTCCCCAGTAGTAGATAGATACAAAGAGGAAAAGCCAGACTACATCAACCATATGCCAATACCATGCCGCTGCCTCAAACCCAAAATGATGTCTCTTAGTGAAATGGTACGACATCAGTCTAAAAAGACAAACTGTAAGAAATATCGTACCAATTATCACGTGAAATCCGTGGAACCCTGTTGCAAGGTAGAAGGTAGAGCCATATACGCCATCAGCTATGGTGAAGGGAGCCTCCAAATACTCATACGCCTGAAACCCTGTAAACACTAGGGCTAACAAGACTGTAATCAGGAGAGCTGCAATGCCTTGCTCACGATAACCCGCTAAAATTGCATGGTGAGCCCAAGTAACTGACGCTCCTGATGACAATAGGATGATGGTGTTTAGGAATGGGATCTCCCAGGGGTTCAACACCTGAATCCCTTTTGGGGGCCATACAGCACCTATTTCTACAGTGGGCGCTAAACTAGAGTGGAAGAACGCCCAAAAGAATGCCAGAAAGAACATTATTTCTGAAACTATAAACAAAATCATTCCGTAACGAAGACCTAGCTGCACTGCTACGGTGTGGTGACCCTGATAGGTAGATTCTCTAACCACGTCTCTCCACCACACACACATTGAATAGATAATCATACCAATGCCAAAGGCAAGAACTAAGCCTCCGCCAACATAACTGTGCATATACATTACGCCGCCTACTGTAGTAACGAGACAGGCTAGAGAAGCCAGCAAAGGCCAGGGACTTGGATCCACTAAATGATAAGGGTGTTTTCTCATACCTAAATCTTCTGTTTGATGTCATTCCGGACCTGCATCACTCTATCAATGTTAGATTATATCTAACAGTGGGCCCATGGCAACTCTGTGATGTCAGGGCTGGAATCGAATCCTCTATTTCATAGAGTCCATCTCTATTTTTCTATCAAAATAGAGCCTACTTTCTCTTGTTTGGTAAGCTTTACCACCAGCCAATAGACTGCGCGTCACCCTTCTTTTGCATTATTGCTTTAATACTGAGGTTTTGCTGTGATAAACAGCATAGAGTAACGCCGGTGGTTTGACAGGCCAAGTAAGCTGATCGCCTTGCAATCGCACTTGATTGCAAGGTCAGCCACGGGCCGTTGAAGGTGATTAGGCAATTTCCTCGACTATAATTGATCCTGGTAGGTTGTTTCTTGATCAGCTCCCTCCAATTTTACTGATCCAACATTGGGTGCATTGCACTTGGAGAAACTTAGCTCCGCCAGTGGCAATGCACACTGCTGTTTATTCCTCCTGCAATTTGTTAGAAATCCAGCCCACGTAGTTGTCCAGAGAGACCGACTCTACAACTATAGGCATAAACGCGTGATTGGCACCACACAGTTCACTGCACTGCCCATAAAACACACCTTCTCTTTTGATGAAAATAGGTGACTGATTTAAACGACCAGGAACAGCATCACACTTTACTCCCAAAGATGGAACGGCCCAACTGTGGAGAACATCAGCCGATGTAATAATCATTCGGATGTGGGTGTTAACTGGAACTACTACTCTGTTGTCCACCTCTAAAAGACGAAGCTGCCCTGGTTCAAGCTCATCTTCAGGGATAAGGTAGCTGTCAAATGCTATTGATGACTCATCGGAAGTGTTGTAATCAGAATACTCATATGACCAATACCATTGATGCCCAATAGCCTTAACGGTAACTGCAGGGTCCACAACTTCATCCATGCTGTAAAGCAAGGCAAAGGATGGGATAGCTATTAACACGAGAACAAGGCTTGGTGCTACCGTCCAGGCGATCTCGATAGTAGTTCCGTGAATAATCTTTTCAGGAACAGGGTTGTTTCCCTGATGGAAATGGTAAAGTGTTCTTACTAACATCCAGAGCACAAACACCAATATTACCACCATAAAGAAGCAAATATCATGGTGCAAGTCGATAATGCCTTGCATAACTGGCGTTGCTGGGTCTTGAAACCCCATTTGCCAGGCTTCTGGCGCATCTAGATGTCCTACAACGGGAAGGCAAAACAACAAAACAAAACATAAAAACATAAACCTTGTCCTTCATTCCTTTATTTTACCTGTAACGGTTAGCTTTCTCTATTGTAAACTCTTGTGAGTTTATTGTATCTATGTGAGCTGGGGCCTGATGGGATGGGGTTCGTTGGGATGGA